AGCCCAGCTTCCCACCAGCACCATCTGGACCATGCTGAGATGCGGTGTAGGCGTGGGGAGAACACACACACATAGCCCGAGGCCGAGGTCTTGGCCAGGACCTCATGTGTGTGGTACTGAGAGGTTGATACCAACTGGGTGTCTCCCTCAACCATTCTCCATCTTAATGTTTGAGACAGGGTCTGTCCTTGAACCTGGAGCTCGTTGATCTAGCTAAACTGGCTAGCCAGCAAGCCCCAGGAATTCCCTGCCTCCGTCTCCCAGTGCTGGGATTGAGAAGACATGGTCATGCTCAACTCTTGACATGGGTGCTGGGGATCTGAACTCAGGTCCTCATATTTGCATGTAAGGCCTTACCAACTGTGCCTTCGGCCATCGCAAAGAAACCTCAGACCTCCTGAGGCCTGGAGGAAGCGGAGGACAGTACAGAAACCTGACAAATGACAGCATGGATGTCATGCACTTCAGACCACAGCAGACGCATCCGTTCCTGACCACAGAGACAAGGTGGAGATCACCGAATGGAGTATTAGGTAACACATCACAGATGCCTCCTCAACATCCTTTAGAAAGGTCTGAAAACTTCAGCTTACCCTCCTCAATGCTACATTCAGACGTCCATTCTCCCCTCACAGAAAACAACCAGCTCCATGCAGACAATTCACAATCAGGCAATGTTTTTCAAGTGAAAAGCTAACACGACCCACCGAGTTCAACACAATGTTCACACGTTCACACTCTTTCCCTGTATGACAGACACCTGACTAGTCACACCCACGTAACACGCATCTACGGACTGAGCCCCCCTGTGCACAGGGACAGCGTATGTGTGCTGGGTCAGTGGCTAGGGACCTCTAGTCACACCACCCTCCCACTCCTAGAGGGGGGCTCAGCATTCTCAACCCGAGGGAAACCGCCCTGTGGCTGCAGCCTCTATGACATGTATGTCTGGCGCGTCCGGGAGAATCTCCTGTCCCCACCCCATCGTCCCAGCATCATTTTCAGAACTCAGGACAAATCCTACCGACAGACCGACAGACCGGCTTGTGGATTAAGAGGCAGGGGTGGGGTGGGGAGAGCAGGCTTGCTCCCTGATTGCAGCTCCCCCAGTTCCATCGCATCTCTTAGTAATTACAGTAGGTGCTGTGTAGGGCTCAGGGGAGGAGACCCTGGCGGTGCCCGACGGCTCAGAGTGAGCCACAGGATCCTGGCCCAGCGCTCTTGTCCCTGTCCATAGGGAGCACCAGGCGGAAGTGCCCCTTCTCTCTCTTCCTTCCTCCCTTCAGTGCACATGAGACACCAGGACCTCTTGCAAACACTGGGAAGCTCACAGCTTCTTCCTTACCCTCCCCCACTGTGGCCACACCCTGCACCCTTACACTGCTGGGGGTGGGGGAGGGGAAGTACAGGATGAGAAAGCCTGGTGGGGAGGGCAGAAACCTGGGGCCCCAGGAAGCTCCCTCCCCGTCGGCACCGGCTTTGCTTCTGGCCTGGAGACACATGTCTGGCACAGGGCTGCATTGTAGGGAAGAGCTTTGAGATGTCTCCCACCGAACCTGTACTCCTCCTGTAGGAGGGCACGGGGCGCCGGGAAGGGACAGGGACCCATCACACGCCTTGTCGAGATAGAAGACTAGGATAGAGCAGGTGGACAGGCTTTCCCAGGAGTTACTGGGGGCTGCCCAGCAGCTGGCACTCACACTCATGTCTGTGAAGGAACAGGGGCACCCTGCAGAGCCCTTGATCTCCTAGTGGTCCCCCTGTCACCCTAGGGATGGAAGCAGAAGCCCATGGGGAGCTGTCAGTCAGGCCTCTCCACTGAACGCTTGCTGTGCCTGACCAACTGAGCAGTGGTTAGGCCTGTGTGTACTCAGCTGCTGCGGGTCCTGGTAGGTTGGACAGGAAGCCACACAGGGCCACAAGGAGCCTGGGAAGTATCTGGATCTTCAGTAGCTCCACGGTCTTCTCAGGGAGCCAGCAATACCACATATGAGAAAGAAAGCCTGCCCTGGAAAGCACATCCCCAAAGCACCCTGGGTACCTGCTGTGGACCGGGGCCTGTAGAGGACCTGGGACCTGTAGAGGAGATCATGTTCCGAGTGTCGGGTGGAAGGCTGAGTCACTGTCTGCCGAGCAGCATGCCACCGGGGACCACAGGCCCAAGGGGAAGTTGGTGCAGCGAGCTCCAGGGCCCCGTGCGCGGCCACCGCACAGTCAGAGACTAACAAGTCAGGGCCCCCAAGGGACACCAGGGCGTGGCCTCTGGTGGGACGGCCCAGCCACCCCTGGTGTGCGGACAGTGTGGCTGCCTCAGGGACAGCAGTTGGGGGAACAGAGTCACAGTGGGGTAGAAGCATCCTTTGTGTTTCTGCTTCCTGTCTACAGGGCCCCTCCAGAAGAGGGAGCCTCTTTCTCAAGGTGGAAGGGGCCAGTTCCTAGTGAGTCTTGGTGATGTTAAAGATAGCCTCTGACCGGAGCCAGCTTTGTAGGGAGCCCTGCTCAGCCGCCATCTATCTGCTCTTCCCCACGCCCTGGAAAGGCTCCGTTACCACCTCCCCTTCTACAGATGATGGATGCCCAGAGGGCCCAGAGGCACATGGCTGGATTCTAACTCAGGCCTGGCTGACTTTGGGCTGTGGTCAGGGTTTCTGCCTGTCCTACAAGGAACCGACTGACCTGGAAGGGCAGACAAGTGTCCTGGGAAGGGTGGATTACAGGGGGAGCCTCCTGCTGTGGGGAGCTCCATCAGGCTCTCTGAAACCAGGAGAGACCCCAGACTCTTTGACTGGAGGCAGAGAAAGGAAAGGCTGGAACACGCCACCTCCCACCGTGCCGGTCCCCTGCACAGGACTGAGTCCCCAGCCCCAGCCCAGCCCACTCCTTATGCACGGCTCCCAGAGGGGAGGCGGTTCTCGTCTTCCCCATGAGTGCCAGGCTCTGCACGGAAGAAGGGTACTACTGAGCGCCCCAAAAGATAGACGGAGAGAAGGATGGGAGAAGGATGAGGGAAAAAAGAAAGACACTTTGAGTGTTCTGTGAGAAAGCCAAGCTGTTGGGAGACGAACAAGAGGGAGAAAGAAGGAGAACAAAGTAAGACACCGTGAGGGAGAGGAAGGAAGGGGAGGGAGGGAGGAAGGAGGCCCTCACACGGAACCCAGTCTAGTCCATGGACGGCCACCCCTCACTGGACTTTACGGACTGTTAAGGCCCACAGACATTAAATGGCACTCAAGGACACTCGGCAAATCAAGGAAAAGTGGGACTGGGCTCATGTCACGCTCTGTCGTCCACACAGCACCTTTTCCTGCCCCTCGTGGGCCTCTGCCTTTGGACAGGTGACCCTTACTCTGTGGTGTGTACAGGTACAGCCATCCTCTTGTCCCCAGGATGGAAGAGATCTACAAACACGGGCTTTACCCAGGGCTAACGTAATTCATGGTGGCTAAGACCAGCTCTCAGGAGCAACAGATGAAGTCGAATATCACAGACACCCAGGCCTCTCCAGCTGCTCAGCTCCGCAGACAGCCACAAAGAAGAAGGAAATACCTGCTAATGACACAACCGATAAGGGATCAATGTCCAGACTAGAACTCTTAAGCACAGATGGCCACATGGGAAGACGCTGAATAACACCCATACACCAGGAAATGCAAATCAAACCATGGGAGTTATTGCCTCACCTCCACCAGGATGGCCGCCACCAGAAACCAGAGAGAACAGAGAGATGCCGGGACACAGGAGGCCACCCACTGCCGCTGAATGGACATTCAGTCTGTAGAACACAGCCTGGAGGTCCCTCAGAAACATAAAACGCAACTGCCCACGGCCCCGCAATTCCACGTCTGGTACTTTTGTCCTTTGGATGAGAAATGTCCTCACTGGCGTACGTGTTTGAACTCCTGGTCTCCAGTTGGTAGAGCTGTTGGGGAATCTGTGGAAGCTTTTGGAGGTGGAGCCTTCCTAGAGGGAGTCACCATGGTTGGGCCTTAAGGATTTACAGCTCAGCTCCTCTTCCTGTCCACGCTCTGCTTCCCAAGTGAGGATGCAAGGTGACCTGCCAGCTTCTGCTCTGGCTATCTTTCCCTCCTGCCTGCTGTGACATCTTCCCGTGAGAGACTGGATTCCCCTAGACCTGGGAGCCCAAAGAAGACCCTTGAGTTGCTCTTGTCAGGGTACTTTATACAGCCAGGAGAAGGCAACCCCAAAGAACTGAAACCGGTGCCTTAAAGAAGTGTCTGTACTCCCATGTTCAGGAGAGCCTCAGTCAGGTGGACGGATGATCATAGGATATGTCAAATATGGTCTACCCGAAGAACAGAGCACTTGACAAAGAAAGAAAATTTACCACCTGAGGACTGTAAGCCAGCCATGAAAAGATACTGTGAGTCCATGCACAGGACACACTTAGACAGGAGTGGAGTTGTAAGGGAGGGTGCTGGTGAGTGGCAGAGGCACACAGGTGGGGCGTGGTGGCGGCTTTGCTATAGGATGAAGGTGCTGACCACCACTGAGCCGCTCTTTACTATGACGAGCTTCGTGACGCGACTTTTACAAGCACACTTCACCTACTCAACCCACATTGATAAAGTCACGCAACTCGGCAGCTGTCTGCTGACAGGACCTGCCGATGACCTTACTTCCCAAATTACCTCCCAGGTGGGAAGGCCTGGGACACAGCCTGCAGCTGAGTCCTGGTGTGTGGCTTCTAGAAAGATCTGTTCCTGATGGCGGGGGACAGTCCTGGTATGGCTGCACACTAGGTCCTGCTGTAACTTTCAGCAGCAGGAGATGATGTTGGGGTATCCCAGCTGGGCCAAGCTTGGGAGGTGGCGTGCACAGGCTGAGGGTCCATATGGTACAATCCATTATGTTACGGTAGATTGTCCCAAGTCATGAGTGCCCTGCTGATCTGGGAATCACCAAAACTCTGTTGCTAAGTGACATCATCACAGTGGATCTCCTGGGTTCTAGTTTGGTTTCTGTGATAAATATCATGACCAAAAGCAGCTTGGGGCAGAAAGGGTATATTTCATCTTAAAACTCTCTAGCCACAGCCAATCACTGAGGGAAGTCAAAGGAGGAATTCAGGCAGAGAAACCACGGAGGAACGCTGCTCATCGGCATGCTCCCTCTGGCTTGCTCAGCTACCTTTCTTATCCAGCCCAGACCCACCTGCCTAGGGATGGCACCACCTGCTGTAGGGGCCACTCCTACATCAGTTAGTGATCAAGGAAACATCCCACATACCTAACTACAGGCCAGCATGATGGAGGCAGTTCCTTAGGTGAGGTTTTGTCTTCCCAGGTTTGTCAAGTTGACAACCAAGACTAGCCATCTCACTCTGGTTTTTTCTTTCTTTCTTTCTTTCTTTCTTTCTTTCTTTCTTTCTTTCTTTCTTTCTTTCTTTCTTTCTTTCTTTCTTTCTTTCTTTCTTTCTTT